TTTATTTATTTATTTATTTATTTATTTTTGAGACGGATTCTCACTCTGTCACCCAGGCTGGAGTGCAGTGGCACAATCTCATCTCACTGCAACCTCCGCCACCCAGGTTCAAGCAATTCTCCTGCCTCAGCCTCCTGAGTAGCTGGGATTACAGGCATCTGCCACCACTTGGCTCATTTTTGTAATTTTAGTAGAGACACGGTTTCACCATCTTGGCCAGACTGGTTTTAAACTCCTGACCTCGTGATACACCTGCCTCAACCTCCTAAAGTGCTGGGATTACAGGTGTGAGCCACCATGCCTGGCTGAACTTCCAAGAAGAAGTTTGTGCATCAATTTTCAAAAAATTATGATATCAAAAGAGAGCTGTGTCCTACCTTTGGAAAGATACAAAAACTGAACATTCTGGCAAGCAGTTTAGCTGGTGCTTGAGATAGAGCCACACATTGGTCTCAGTGGATTTATAGAGAAAAATAGATACAAAAAGTTATTTCTAAATAAGACCAAAAAATCCTTTTCTTAAGCAGTGACCGGTAACGAGGTTGTCTTGGTTAACCTTGAAATGTGTTGCCCTTGATTAAGACAGTTTTATAGTGGGGATGGTAGTGGTGATAAACTTGTTTGAAATTTGTCCACTTACAGTAACCTTTGTGGTAGCCGTCACAGACAACTTCATCCTCACAGGCCTTAAAATTACTATAAAACTAATAGAATGGAGGAGAAACAAAGGACCTGAATAATTAGATGCTAGATAATTGTAATGTGTTTTCATAACCGGGGAAAAAGAGCAGTGTTAGAAGCACTTAAACATTCTATGTAAGGAACACTGCCTGAATTTATATTGCGATTTTTGAGCCCCATTTGCTGTTTAAAAACTGGCATATTGCAGGTCATATTTTAAAGACAAATGGAAAACTTACCTTTTCAAGATTGATATGAAGCTTAACCTTATCAAAATTACAAAATTTAAAGCATATGATTAAAAAATACTAATGCATAGGTTTAAATATTGGTCATCATTTTAGATGCCTTTCAAAATAGATTGTCTCTTAAATATAAAACTGAACAAACTTTTAACATATTGCAGAGTTTGTGCTGAAGGTTAAGTTTCCTGGGGTGGTGGATATTTTATAATATGGACAATAAAACCTTCTTATTTTAAGAAATTTAGAAACATTTTAGGTAAAACTGGAAAATATTACTGATAATTCTACCACTCAGAAAGTACCACTATCAGAATTTGGTATTTTTCCAGTCATCTGCTCATCTTTTCTCCTATGCTTGTATATGTTCCCTCTCCCATGAAAAATCAGACTTTTTTTTTGTAATCTGCTTATTCACTTAACAACATTGTAGATCTGTGTCATAACTTACTCCTCTACAGTGGCTTCAGTTATTGTGCGCTTTCTGTTGGATAACTATACCATCTAGTCAGTCATGTTTCCTGGTACTGAATACATGGTGTGTGTGTGTGTGTGTGTGTGTGTGTGTGTGTGTGTGTGTGTGTGTGTGTGTGTGTGTGTTTCTACCTTAACTAATGCTTTAGACATCAATAGGTAGAGCTAAATGCTTGAAACCTTCCAAGTGGTGGCTTTCAGTTCTCACTGCTGAATTGGTTTCTAGAGATGAAACAAATTATATGGAAACTTTTTTCTGAGATGAAGTCTCACTCTTGTCGCCCAGACTGGAGTGCAATGGCATGATCTTGGCTCACTGCAACCTCCACCTCCCGTGTTTAAGTGGTTCTCCTGCCTCCACCTCCCCAGTAGCTGGGATTACAGGTGCCTGCCACCACACCCGGCTAATTTTTGTATTTTTAATAGAGACGGGGTTTCATCATGTTGGCCAGGCTGGTCTCTTAACTCCTGACCTCAGGTGATCTGCCTGCCTTGGCCTCCCAAAGTGCTGGGATTACAGGTGTGAGCCACCATGCCTGGCATTTTTTCTTCTAGGTACCAACTTGTATTTATCAGTTTGGTAAAAATGTTAGAAAGTGTGCAATAAAATGGGCATTCTCACAGTCGTGGCAGAAAGTATAATTATCTTTAATTTTCTAGAAAGCAGTTTGGCTCTCTGGAAACTTGCCTAACCTCTCCCCGTTTAGGCAAGATAAATTCTGACTACCCCAAGGTGGCCAACCTTGTCCCTGTGATTCCAGATCTCCCAGAAAGAGAAGTTTAGTCTCAGGGAAAACCCAGATTTTCTTGGCTTCGTCCACCTTGACAGCTGATCACTGGAAATGGGTGGGCTGGTCGAGTCCTGTAGTCAGGTTTTGTGTCCAGAGAGGCAGGTGGAAGATGGGAGGGATGTAGCAAAACTGACATCAATGGAACTCTATAAGTTAATATAGAATGGCAAAGGGATGTTTCTTCCAAGGAAGAAATTCTAGGAAAGGAAGGAAAGTGGAGGAGAAGGCAGCAGCTCTCAAAGTTTTGGAATCAGGACTCCTTTACACTCTTAAAAATATATTGAGGGCCCAAGGAGCTTTGGTTTATGTAGGTTATGTGTATTGCTATTTATCACTAGAAATTAAATCGGAAATACTTAAACTATTCTTTAAAAGCTCACCACATTTGTTATAAATGCTTTTATGAAAAAATTTCTAAACCCAAAGTAGCACAATCTTACATTTTTTGCAAATTTCTTTGATGTTTGGTATGTCATTTTTATCTGCATTCAATTTATTGTGTGATATTTGCTTGAAAAAATGTGAACAATGTCCAATCTCCCAGGTCGGAATGCAGTAGTGTGATCACAGCTCACTGCAGCCTCAGTCTCCAGGGACTCAGGTGATCCTCCCACCTCAGCCTCCAGAGTAGTTGGGACTACAGGTGTGTATCACCACACCTGGCTAATTTTTTGTATCTTTTTGTAGAGACAGGGTTTTGCCATGTTGCCTAGACTTCTTTTTTGATACTCCATCAAAACTTGGTTTTTCTTGAACTTTGGATCTTTTACCCTTGCATGACATTATAACATCATGCATTGGTCATTTAGAAAATAATGGTTCACCGAGATCTTCTACATGTTGATACATTTGATTATACAGTATCAAAATACATTCATCAATATCACCATCAATCTCATCAGAATACTTTTGGAAAACTATGGTGGATATAAGTTTTCTAAAATTCTAATTTTTTGTTCAAAAGCTTGAATTTTATTATTAGCAATTTTATTATTGAATTTTATTATGGCCTGTCTGTTGTTTTTCTTGAAATGACAGAATCTCGTTTTTTGAGAAAATGTCTCCCAAAAACCCACGATGAAATAATATTGTTTGTCAGTCATCCTTTCAAGTAAAAATGGTATTCCATTAAAGTGGTTAATTCACTTCACGACTTAGTGACACAAGGGTTTTTTCTCAGGCAGTCTGTAGGAATGCTCCTGTGTACTTCCAATTTCATCACTTGAAATATTAAAAATACATATTCAAGGATAAAAATGTAGTAAAATTTTCACTGCTTCATCATTCTTTTTGTTTTTGAGACAGGGCCTTGTTCTGTCACCCAGGCTGGAGTGCATGATCACAGCTCACTGTAGCCTCAACCTTCTAGGTGCAATCCTCCTGCCTCAGCTTTCCAAGTACCTGGGACTACAGGCATACAATCACAATGTCCAGCTAAATTTTGTATTTTTTGTAGAGATAGGGTTTCACTATGTTGGCCAGGCTGGTCTCAAACTCCTGACCTCAGGTGATCTACCTGCCTCAGCCTCCCAAAGTGCTGGGATTACAGGTGTGAGACACCATGCCTGGCCTGCCCTTCCTTTTTAAACCTTTCCTGTGCATAGTGAAGAATACCATGACTACTAGTAGTTTGGTGTTACTGCCTTTGTTTGTGCTAAAGTACCAGCATTTTTACCCGCTATTGTATTTGCACCCTTACAGCAAATGTCACCATGTTAGTATTCCCATTAAAATAGTTTGGACCTGGGCGTCTGAGGGCCGCACTTTGGGAACCATTGAAATAGGTACTTAAACCTACTATATACCATATCTTTTCATCTGCAAGATTTTTAAAAACATGATTTCAGTTGTTTTTTTGTTTTTTTTTTTTTTTTGTAATTTTTAAAACACGGTTTTGAGGGGTTTTAGTCCAGAGTAACAAACGCATTTTATTTTGCTTATGCTGAACTTTACTAGACAAATACTAACCTAATGGAATGAGGTCCTAAATCGAGTTGCAGTTTCTTTAGCCAAAAAATAAATAAATAAATAACCCAAAGCTAAACACATAAAAATGATCCATAGGATGTATTCCCAATGTATGCTGAAGAATTTGAAGAAGAAAGTGCAATACTCAGTAAGTGGTGTTCTTTATGAATAGGATTAATTCTGAAGAGTTTCTTTTAGCCTGTAAAGAGATTTGGGACACAGTAAGAGAGGAATGAGAAGAATGAGAATAGTAAACTAAAGCATTATTGAAGAGATATACTGTTAATGATGTCCTCCTTCAACACAACTTGTTTTTCTTTTTTCTTTTTTTTTGGTGGGGGGACAGAGTCTTTCTCTGTCACCAGGCTGGAGTGCAGTGGTGCAATCTCAGGTCACTGCAACCTCCGCCTCCCTGGTTCAAGCGATTCCCCTGTGTCAGCCTTCTGAGTAGCTGGGACGACAGGTGTGTGTCACCATGCCCGGCTAATTTTTTTTTTTTTTTTTTTTAGTAGAGACAGGGTTTCACCATGTTGGCCAGTATGGTCTCGATCGCCTGACCTCGTGATCCACCCACCTCGGCCTCCCAAAGTGCTGGGATTATAAGCGTGAGCCACCATACCCGGCCAACTTGTTTTTCTTAAAAGAACCTTTGGTAAATATTTGGCTTCTGTGGCTTCAGCTATAATTCAGATTATAGTTTTCAAAGCAGTGTTTCCTAAAGTTGTTGGTGCGAAATTGTTTTCCATGACTTGAACCTAGTTGTTCTGAAGCTAATATATAATAATGGCTTCTCCCCAATTTATAATTGAAAACAATACAAATTAACAGAGTAAATGTCTGTTAGTGGGTAAAAGCACATAATGCTTAGTTCATTAGCTTTTTTAAAAAAATCACATGTAATTGTGTTCCAAAAATATATGTATAGTAATGGCATTTCTTGGTATTACTTGGTTTGTGTGATAGAATAAAATATTATAATTGTATGGTGTTTGAATTAGTTATCTATTGCCCTGTAACAAATTTAGCAACTTAAAACCACAAACATTATCTCACAGTTTCTGTGGGTCAGGATTCTGTGCAGTTTACCTTGGGTTCACTGGCTTGGCCTCTCACCAGGCAGTGAAGGTGTTGGTGGTGGCTATGATCATCCCAAGGCAGGATAGGGAGAGAATCCGTCTCCAAGCTCACGTTGGCAGGATTTTTCTCACAGGCTGTTGGACTGGGCCTCCATTTCTAGATGGCCATTGGTCGGAGGCCTTTTACAATACCTTGCCATGTGGGCCTCTCCATAGGGCAGCTCATCACATGGCAACTGGCTTCCATCAGAGGGAGCAATGGAAAGAGCAGGAGAAGGGTGACCAAGGCAGGCATCATAGTCTTCTTGTAGCCTCACCTCAGAAGTGATGTTATTACTTTTGCTTCATTCTCTTTGTTAGAAGTGAGTCACTAGGTCCAGGGGCAGGAATTTTACAAGGGTATGAATGGCAGGAGGTGAGGGTGATCGGGGCCATTTAGAGGCTGCCTACCAGTGTTGAAGAAAATTGTTGACTTCTATGAGCTGTAGCAGCAGACAGTGCTATGCAAGGAGAATGGCTGTCTCAAAAGTCCAGCTCCTCACATGGGTTTTAATGTGTTGCCTTTTCCCCCATACATTTTGTTTAAATCCATGGTCATCTTGCCATTTAGTGGTGTGGTTTAATTGCATATTTGGGTTAGTCTGTATGTAAACGTTTAACACAGGTGTCTCTGTGCTAAACAGGAATCCTATGCATCTTCTTCACCAATATGGTTTGTGGACTCTGATAAGCCAAATCTGACATCAGTTCTGGAACACCTAGAAGATACCAAGAACAATATTCGGTAAGGAGGAAGCCAAGCTATTTTCTCTTTTCCTCATGAACATTATATTTAGAAATTAAATGTTAAGAGATAATACGATATAAAAGCATGATTAATGACTATAATCTTAGAGGAATTAAAGTCTGGGTATTTTAAGTCCTTCAAATCTTATTTACTACCTAGTTTCTCTTTATTATTTCCCTCATGTATAACCTTAGTTTAGATTAGGAATTCAGGATCTCTTTTTCCCTGAATTCTAACCATTAAGCCAAGCAAGCATTTTGGGTAGAGACGACTAGCCAAAGTGGGAGGTGGAAAAAAAACCAAGGTAGAAGTGAAGGGAGAGATGGGTAGAGTCACACCAGAACTAGTATGAGGGAATTGCCTTTTCTTTCAAGGGTCTGTAAGTCTGCGGTTAAAGTCAAAGGTATTCAAATAGAAAGTTGTGTTTTTGTTTTTAGTATATAAAGAAGTATAACTTACCATGTTGCGAAAATTTTAAAAACCTTTATTATAAAACTCATAAGCAACCATAAGCATATAAAACTCATAAGCAATCTATTGTAAAATATAGAAAAGAAAAGAAAAAAAATAAAGTCTCTCATAATTTTTCTACCTAATATAATCACTGTTGACATGATGGCTATTTTCTACCCTTATATATTTTTTCTTTGCTAGTAAAATACAAAACCCTTATACATATGTTTAAATAATTGAGGTCGTATTCTCTATAGTTTTATATTATTTTAAAAAGCATTTACTAGGCCAGGCGCGGTGACTCACGCCTGTAATCCCAGCACTTTGGGAGGCCGAGGCAAGCAGATCATGAGGTCAGGAGATCGAGACCATCCTGGCTAACGCGATGAAACCCCATCTCTACTAAAAATACAAAAATTAGCCAGGCATGGTGGCAGGCGCACCTGTAGTCCCAGCTACTCAGGAGACTGAGACAGGAGAATGGTGTGAACCTGGGAGACAGAGCTTACAGTAAGCCGAGATCGTGCCATTGCACTCCAGCCTGGGCAACAGAGCAAGACTCCATCTCTAAAAAAACTAAAAATCAAAAATTAAAAATTAAAAAAATAAAAAGCATTTACAATATTTTCCTATGATGTCATAATCTTTATAGAAAACTAACAATCATTATTTTAAGTTGACATGATTGTTTACCTAAAAATATCCAAAGGAACCAACTTTAAAAAAAGAAACAATTTTTAAGATTGCTGGTTAAAAGCTCTGTTATATAAAAATCAATAGCCTTCCCCAATATTAGCTATAATCACATAGGAGATATAGTGGTAAAGTATTTTTTCAAGTATTTCACAAAAATTAAATACCTAGGAATAAACTTACATGTGCAGGACTTTTATCAAGAACATGACAAAATTTTGCTGAGTGGAATGAAAGATTTGCATTCTATGTCCCTGGATGAGTAGATTTAATATTATAAATACGTTAGTTATCACCATGTCTTCATATTAATTTATAAATGTAATTTCTGCTGGGCACAGTGTCTCACACTAGTAATCCCAAGAGTTTGGGAAGCTGAGGCAGGTAGATGACAATTAGCTAGGTGTGGTGGTACACACTTGTAGTCCCAACTACTCAGGAGGCTGAGGTGGGAGGATCACTTCAGCCTGGGAGGCAGAGATTGCGGTGAGCCGAGATCATGCCTCTGAACTCCAGCGTAGGTGATAGAATGAGACCCTGTCTCAAAAAAAAAAAAAAAAAATCCCTGTAGATTTATTTTTGGAACTTGACAAAATGACTCTAAAGTTTGTTTAGAAGAGTAAGTAATAAAAAATAATAAAGAATAGATTTGTTCAACCCGATATTAAATAAAATATTGTGGAATAGCCCTGAGCCAGACAGATAAAGGCAATGAAGTTTAGAACCAGAGTCATGCTAATGATAATTTAGTATAAGATAAAGATGGTATTTTAACTTAATAGGGAAAAGATAGATTATTCTGTAAATAGTCTTAGGAGAGCTGACCATTTGAGGAAGTTTGAGTCTTAACTCCAATTTTTGTCAAAATAAATTATAGTTGGTTTAAACACAAATATTCTAAAAATAAGAACTGAAGAACATGGGTTTGAAGATATTTTAAGAGTTAAGGCTGAGGCTGGGCACAGTGGTTCACGCCTGTAATCCCAGCACTTCGTGAGGCCAAGGTGGAAGGAGTGCTTGAGCCCAGGAGTTTGAGATCAGCCTGGGCAACATGGCAAGACCCCCTCTTCTCTCTCTCTCTCTAGATATAGATATAGATATAGATATACATATACATATACATATACATATACATATACATATACAAAAAAAGAGTTAAGGTTTATATGGAAAGCCATGAAGATAAGAGGTAAAAATTAATTAAAAGCTAGATAGACACATGTTTACATCTCCAGAAAGGGGGGTGATGGGAAAGAATGATAGACATAGCTCCATTACTGCTACCTCCTTTTAGGAAGTTGCTTGTGAACATCTAAAGATAACAGTTTTATAATAGCAGAAATGAGTTATTTTTCACTGTCTAAAACATTACATAAACATGTTCATAAAGTTAAATGAAGTAGGATATAAAATTGGGCCTAGTGTTTTAAAAAGTAAATATATTTACACGAAGGAGAAAATGACTCACCTCCCACTCTTACAGCCTTTGCCAGTTTATCATAGCCTAGTTTCTTGAGAGAATAAGCTACATGTCTTCACCTTTTTTCACTGAATTCATTGTAATCTGGATTCTGTCCTCATCATTGCACTAAAATTTATCTCCTAGTTGCCAAATCTAGTGGCCCCTCTCTTTGTCCCCAAATTGACCCCTCTGCAGTATTTTGATACTGTTGATTGTTCCCTTGTTGAAACATTCCTCCATTCTTAATGTCCACCAATAAAGAGTTGGTTAAATAAAAATTATAGTGTGCAGTTTTATAATAGAATATTCTGTTGTAGATCAAAAGAAATGCAGCCAATCCTTCCATAAGCATGTGCAAACTTCTAAGATATATTAAGTAAAAAAGTAAGGCATAAAATATTGTGTATAATCTGGCCCCTTTAGTATACAGTATTAAAAAATCCGTATCTGTGCTTATTTATACTTACTTTTTTCTTACCTGGTGGATACAGCAAACTGTGAATAGTAGAACACAATTTAAAAAAACATTGAGTGGCTTTTGTGCCAAGCCCTGTGATAATTGGCTATAAAAGACAAAAAAAGGCATGTCCCTGTCCTCTGGGAAGGGACATGATAATCTAATGGGACCTCCATCAGATTCCTTTCTTCTGTTTTGATCTTATCACCCTGCCTTGGTCTCCTCTGATCTCTTCTTCCTTGGCCTACTTCTTTCTTCTCATTCTGTGCTTTCTCTGAGTAATCTTTGACTCCCATTACTGAAGTCATGACCTGTGTTCCAGGGATTCCTAAATTCCCATTCATCTCCAGAGTTTCAAACTCATATATCTGTCTGTATATCATATATGTTAGGGAATCTCACTTGGAGTGACATGGCTGTTCAAAATGATGACAATTACATTTTCGTGTATCCACCTCCTAGCACTCTATCAGCCCCATCATGTGTTCCCTCAATAATTCTCCTTGTCATTGTGAGTGG